GGGGGGGAGCCTCTTCCTGTCCTGATTCGTCCTTGGCTCCCAGTGGCCAAGTGTGAGTTCTTCAACGCGGGCGGGAGCGTGAAGGACCGTATCAGCCTGCGCATGATTGAGGACGCCGAGCGGGCCGGGACCCTGAAGCCCGGGGACACCATCATTGAGCCGACGTCCGGGAACACAGGTGGGTCCCGGGACGGGCCGGGAGGGTCCCCTGGCCTGTTCGGCCGGCCTCCTCCCTCGACTCGCTTGGGCAGCACGTAATGCGTGCATTTGGAGGGCGGTGCCCAGGGGAAGCCGGGGGCGCCGGGTTCCACGTTTTCCCGCCTGCGTTGCTTCTCAGGGGGTACATCCCCTTTGCGTTTCTACCTCGGGCGTTCTCTGCCCCGACTCCCTCATTCGAGACAGAAGGGGGTGACCTCAGGCCTTTTTGGTATCTGAGTGCCCTCTCCCTGGGCCTTCCTGGCCGTGGGCACCCAGAGCGGGGTCTGTGGGGCGCCGGGGCCCCGTCTCACCCCGTGCACTGTCCCCAGGGATCGGGCTGGCCCTGGCTGCCGCCGTGAAGGGTTACCGCTGCGTCATCGTGATGCCGGAGAAGATGAGCACGGAGAAGGTGGGGGCAAGGGTTGTCCCGAGGGGCCCGGCCCCGTGCACCGGGCCCGGGGGTAGACGCAGGCCTCCGTGCTCCTCCATAGGTGGATGTGTTGCGGGCCCTGGGGGCCGAGATTGTGAGGACGCCCACCACGGCCAGATTTGACTCCCCGGAGTCCCACGTGGGGGTGGCCTGGAGGCTACGGAACGAGATCCCCAATTCTCACATCCTGGACCAGGTGAGGCCGGGGTCTGGGGGCAAGCGTGCACTCGGGGGTGTGGACCCACATCGGGGGCGCCCTGGGGGGCGTCCGTCGGGGTCGAGGGCTGCAGAGGCGGCTGGCGCGTGGTCGCCGGCCTGCCCGGCTCTCCGGCAGGTGGCGGCCAGGTCCGCTGAGCCTTTGGCCGCCCCCCCCCCCCCCCCCCCCCCCCGCCTCCCGGGCCGCCTCTGGAGGGCTGCGCTCAGCACCTGGGCCGGAACGGTTTTGGCGGTGCACCCGGAAGCTGTTGTACAGGTGTAAAACACACGAAAACCTTTTCACCGGGGCTCTCGGCCTCCCCCGTCTCCCCTCTGGGTGAGTTCAGAAACCGCACCTCCCGGAGGGCTCGAGTCAATGTCTTGTGCTGGTCGAGCTTCCTAAAACCGCCTGTGCCGCCGGCCACTGGCTTGATCTGCCGGGATCCGCTCCGGCTCGCCCTGAGCCGTCGGCCTGACGCCCCGGGGCTTTGCCCGTTCGGCCTTCCTGACCCCACTCAGCCCCTCCGCCGTCTCTCCACACAGTACCGCAACGCCAGCAACCCCCTCGCTCACTACGACACCACCGCCGAGGAGATCCTGCAGCAGTGTGACGGTGAGTCCTTGCGTCCCGCCCCTCCGTCCGCCTTCGCTGCATCAATCCCTGCTTGCCTGGGAGCGCACGGGTCACTTACCCTCTCCTCGGTAAACTCCTGTCCGTCCTTCAAAACCCAGCCCAAGCGTCCCCTCTCCGTGAAGTGCTTTCCAGCGCATTTCCCCAGAGGGGTGTCCTTTTTCGGGCTTTGCCTGTGCGTCGCCTGGAACACCAAACGTATCACGTGGTTCTGCTCGTGCGCCCAGCAGTAGGTCCTTCCAGACCTACTCATGCGTGCGGGGAACGAAAGTGTGCCAGGCTGGTTGGTGCTGGAGCCCTCCCTGGGCTCCATGCCGTCGAAAGCCCTTGGCATCAGGCCCCGATCCAAGCGCTGAATCCAACACCTGGGTTTTCTCGTCTCCTGAGCCGGATGGTGGTGCCGGGGGTTGGTTTACTTCCTGTACGGACATGAGTGTCCCTGGAGCCTTTGCACACGTTGAGAGCAAAGTCCGTGGGGGGGGGGGGTGTTTCCCTAAGAGGTTTCAGGGAGAAGGTGCCGGGCGATGGGCCTCGCCGCTTGGAACCTGGTGCTGGCACCGGCCCACACGCGACCTCGTTCCAGGCCTAGGAGCCAGGCGGCAAGGGTCCAAGGGTGTGCTCACCCGGGTTTTACGTGTGAGAACTCTCTCCTTTGGCAAAAACAGCCCTCTGCCTCGGCACGGGTGTCCGCACCGACTTGTCTGCGGGATGCCTGGGCCGGCCACGCGGCAGGCGGAGAGCCCAGTGACTTTCGGGCCGAGCCTGAGGGATTTATTTATTTCCTTTATAATTCAGTTCACTTATTCCTACCTGAAGCCTGACACTGTAAGAGGGGCACGGCAAAGGGCCTCCCCGGGCCCCGTCCCTGCGGCAGCCACTGTGTGGCGGGTCCTGGCAGTGCGTCCAGACGCCCTTCACGGCTTCGCACCAGATGGGGGCTGCAGTGGCCACGTGTCATCCAGCAAAGACTAAACAGAGCCCAGCCCACTGGCTCGCTGTGGCTGCGGATGCTTCTTTAAAGCTCTAGAACTGTCATGAGAGGCTGTCGAAATGTGACAACAGCTTCCCTCTGAACTTCTTGAGAACCGGCCTGCGTTTTGGTTGCGTCTTTACTTACTGCTGAGCGTGGCGAGCCGGCTGAGCTGTGGCCGGAGGGTGGCCCCCTGACACAGCTTCTCCCATCAGGGAAGTTGGACATGTTGGTGGCTTCGGCGGGCACGGGTGGCACCATCACGGGCGTCGCCAGGAAGCTGAAGGAGAAATGCCCAGGATGCAAAGTGAGTGAGCCAGGGGCTGCAGACGGGCGTCGGAGGCGGGTGGGCCCGGACGTGCGCGCCTCTCTCACCTGCGGCCCCATCTGCGGTTGGAGCGTGACCATTGAGCTTCTGGGCCCTGGGTCCCCAGGGTGGCCTCTGCTTTAGAGCTGCAAGTTCCCCGTCCTGACATTTCTGCTTATAGCTTGTCTTGTACCTTGTGTGTCTGCCTCTTCTTGGGAGTGATCCATGACCTAGGCGCCCCACTGCTCTGGGGGTGGGACAGTCGACTTGGATGGCCTCCAAGGATCGTTCCAGAAGCTCTAAGCTCTTAGGGTCATGTCCCGCATGTGCTGTGCTTGGCGGTGGGGGGGACATCTGGATTTGGAGTTAAGCGTGGACCCGGGGAGGGGCTTGTAGAAACTTCCAGCTGGGGGTCCCGAGCACTTTCCTCTTTCCGGCCATTTCTCTGCCATCCATCCCCAAAGGCTCCGGCTGCCCCCACAGGGGCAGTCAGGGCTTTCCTGGGGCGCCCTGCTCACCTGGTTCTCCCCTGGGAAGCTACCTTGTCCCCCCCGGCCACATGCTGTCCCCTTGGAGTACCCCAGGTGAATGTGTACCTTGTAATGTCCCCAGCACTTGGGGCCTGAGGCCTGGGGACACGGCCACACCCCAGGGCAGGTCTTCACCGGGTGCTTGCTAGGGTGGGATTGGCCACCCCCGTAAAAAGTCAGGCACGGCCAGATGAGACTGTTGCCCAACTCGGGCCCTCATGCCGCCCCCTCTAGATCATCGGGGTGGATCCCGAGGGTTCCATCCTCGCAGAGCCCGAGGAGCTGAACCAGTCGGAGCAGACGGTCTACGAGGTGGAAGGGATCGGCTACGACTTCATCCCCACGGTGCTGGACCGGACGGTAGGCAGGGCCAGGGCACTCCCAGGCACGGTTCCAGCCCTCTGGGTACGAACGCCCTTGACCTGTTTTCCGACGGAGGGGCCGCGGAATAGTGGGGGCTGCATGAGCAGGCGGGGAAAGCGTGGCCTCGCCGTCAAGGGTAGGTAACAGGTGGCACCGTATCGAGTGTGTGCCAGGGCCCTGGTGGGCAGAGACGCTGAGACGGCCGTGGGCACGGGCCCGGCCCCCGCAGAGGGAGAGGGCGCAGGTGCTGAGGGCAGGGAAGCAAAGTGAACGATAAGGACCCCAGCCAGACAGGGCTCTCTTTCGGGACCCTAGAGGGTAATTCTGTTGGTGGGGGGGGG